GTACTGACCAACAACTTTGTACTCATTTAAACTTGTTATAATTTTGATACTACTAACTGTTAATACAGTATTTGTATCTTCACAACATTTAGCAGACTTTCAGTAAATATTACAAGTCTTTTGGATATAAAAAAAATCAGATTTTTTAGTGAAGTATTTTTAATAAACTAAAAAAAGATCTATACATGAATATATCATGTCTTTATTTACTAGTCTGAGAGCAAAGTGATTTTTGTTAAGATTAAAAATACTTCTCTTCATCTCAAAAATATCAACTTTCATTTGCATTATCTCTAAAACCTCCTAAATACATTTCAAATGTTTTTTTTTCAATAAAACTGTTATTTTCTCTATCCTAACTGTTTATGGTGTTAGTTGATTTGACTGACCTCATAACCATCATAAAAATAAGGAAATAAAGCTAAATTACCCTTTTATTCTAGAATGACTGCAAATTGTAATAGGAAACCACAAATGTTTATTCTAAATAGCTTAACTCATCTATTTATATTTTGTTTTATTGACCTTTGAATTGTGTCTGACTAGATATACCCTGAATCAAGTTCAAAATTACACAGAGCACGTGCAGCTCACATTACCATATCGAATTGCATAATGCACAAGTTGCTCATTATTATACCCATGAAGATTTTTATTTTTTCATTATCTTACCTAATAAGATTCTAATTTTTACATTTTAGTTACTTTTATAATAATAAATAAAGAAAACAAAGGAAAAATAAAATATAAAGCTATACTGAAAAAACAGTGCTTGATATTTAATTATGAGGTTTTATATCCGTAATTTTTTCTACTGTAACATTATACTTGATTCTACAGGTTGTAAGACAAGTAATCAAAGAGTAACAAATATAAAGGTTGCAAAGTGCAGAGTTTATAATTCTCACCTTTCTAAACTTACTCTCTGTAGTAATTGTATTATTAGGAGCCAACTTAGAAACTAGATGAAAATAAATTAATTGTAAAGTCTGTCTTTTTCAGTATGGATCACTAAGTTGAGCTAGTATTTTAGGCTTAGCCTTCTTGCTCATCACTTTAGAATCAAATTATTCAGTGATTACTTTCTGTTTAAATGTACAATAATATGTTCTTAAACATTTTTTCTTCTTATTGTTAACAGTTTTTTTTACTGAAACATTTTTTTTTAAATTTCCTTGATCTATACACTTATATGTAAAGACGTTCCATTCCATTTGTTAAGATCACTTTATCAGTGATAAATTTATTTCATTAACATTTATAAGCCATTCCATCTTTCTCAAATTACATAAATAAACATTTCTTGAATTGCCAAGTCTTTAGTTTTGTATAATTTGTTTTTAATCTACCTCAACATAAACAAGTAAAAAATAACATAAGTTCAATAAACAATTATACTTGTCTATAACAAAACAAAGTACAAATCTCTTACTCTTAGCACTAGTGTACCAGTATTTTGTAAAATACAGTAACATTTTGGTTAACATACATTACATATTTGTCTGCATGTGTGTGTGTGTGTCTGTGAAAATTTACTGACTTTCAGATTATTATTCTTCAGTATAATAAAAATAAAAGGCAGATCATATCATATTATCATAAAACCAAGTTAGACACACCTAATGCAAAGATAGTTGATAGCTGAATATGTCATAAGAGAACTTGTTTTCATGATAAATGTGGAATTACACCACAGTTCTTATTGAAAGGGTAGATTTTTTAAGCAGTTTGGAACTTGAACAAACTGTCATATAATTATCTTTTTCCTGACAAATGCATGAAGCTAATCAGTTATTTGTAACAAACAATACAAATGTTAACTGAAAATGTATTTCTGGTAGATAGTTACCTCCACTTACAAGTACCTTTTCTCGACCTATGATGTTCTCTATATGCACACATTTCCACTTGCTATTAGCCTTGATACCCCTGTCTACCTTAACACGTTTTCACAGGAGACATTTGCATGCAGCAACTCTTCACAAATAAGAGTGCGACACAACTCCTATATCACTTCCACTCTCTCTTCCATGCAGCCCGAAATAACTTAGAATTTAGGCAGTACATAGAAAACCAACATTGGAAGAGGGGAGGACAGGTGAGAAATACATTTTGAGTTTAGGAAAATGTTAACTCCCTATACAATATCTTACCACCACCACTGACAAATAGCTATAATCCTACACTGATGAGTTGGGAAAGGTCCGGTGAGAAGATGATTCCCCTTTAGAAAGCAATTCAAAAGAGGATCATGGGGAGTGCAAATAGATGAAAGGTAACACCCCTGTGGGAAACCGCACCACTTCTGAGCCAGGTATACTCTTTGCCCATAAGAAATTATGTAGCAATAAGAATAGAAAAAATGGAGAGACCTTCTCAGCTTAAACATGTGTGCACATCCAACACGACCATCACCACATCTACCAGGATCAGACATCCAGAGGATGGTAAGAAGGTGGACAGCAAAGTGAGGGTACATCAACAGACAGCACTGGGAATCTATCATCCAGCCTGCTGTAGGAGGATAGCCAGCCATACATGTGTGAAATACAGGGATCCCAAGTGTAAAGTGGCTATAGCACATCAGACTGTAAATGGGAAATTGACCTCAACCAACACCAAGTGAACTGTGATTGTGATATCCAACCCATGGTATGTAAAAGGTCCTCTACCATTCACCTCACATACAAGAACTGATAGGGAGGTTGAGCCACCATACCAAGAATCCACATCATCATGTGCACACATTCAACACAAACAGTAACATATCTGCCAGGAACTGACATTCAGGGAACAGAAAAAAGGAAGGTGCCTCAGCCAAAGGAGCAAACTGCACATTGGCAGGAATGCATCATACAACACCTGGCGGCATCTGAAATTGTACATCAGGTCCGTGGTAGGATAAGCATGAACATCATCTACATCAGCAGAACATCACTATACTCGCAACTGAGTTGGATTAAGCACACTCAAGAAGAAGCCTCCATGATCCACCACCTCAATGGCTAAGAACTGGCAAGGACTACTACACTCCACTAGAAGAAGGAGGGAAAACAGCACATTGGAGAGCCTGGAGCAACGCTACACTGGAGACAGTGCAATGGCTGACCACAAAACCTTTTTTTGAAAAGCAGACTGATCCTGTGACCTACAATATATGGATCATGTGGTATGGTCAGTAATCCCTCTCCCCTTTACTCATGTTAATCCACAAGTATACAGTCCGGAACGAACATTTTTATGAAGCAAAATACCATGAGGCATGCCCACAAGCAGTTTTGTGGACCATCCCATCTCAACGGTGGAAGTACGTGACACACAGGTCTTACAGTGCAGATTTCAAAATAAGCATGCCTTGTCAGGCAGTACTCACCACTGAGCAGGATACACTTAAGGCACTTGAAAAGAAAATGAAGTAAAAAGGAGCACTTACCCACTCAAAGAGACATGGTGGAATGCAAAACAGCACTGGAAGACAAAATCCGTAGAAGATACAGCTAGGTGGTAAAGATAATGAGCAGTAAAAGTATAGGGAGTGGTCCACATAACGGCACTAATAATGTCCTCCAACAGATGATTGAAATGAGCGGCCAGGAATATGATAAGGTGACGAATTTGATGGATAGATACACAGAAAAGATGACAATCATCAGGAGATAGGGAAGAATAAGCCAGGTGAATCAAATGCCAATTCCAACCTATAGGGGTAATAGGAGAAAGGTCACGGGGCTGGGAGGGATTCCTAATAATCAACAGGACTGCAAATCAAGAAGTGATTTTGGGCTGCACAGAAGAGAAGGTGCTAGTGACAATAGGAGTTGTATCACACTCCTATTGGTGGAGGGTTGCATACACGAGGGTAGGTGGGAGTATCCAAGTTTGTGGTGAGCAAAAATTTATGCATATGGAAGATAGTATATATCGAGAAAAGTTATTTGTGAGGTAGGATATCATATTGGAATTATAAAATTTTTTACATGGCAAGGGTTTTTCAAAACCTAAGTATATTTGCTATACCCTTGACCTTAACTATGAAAAAAAAATACACATATTAAAAAGGTTAAAGTAACTCTATTGCTGCATAAGTGTCCAATGACTTCATTTACTGAGAATTTTAAAATGCTGGGTTGATATACTGGAAGAAACATTATGATATGATATATAATAAAAACCTTTACAGTTTAAATTTTTTCTTACCTCGTAGGCACAAAAAAGTTAAAAAATCTTCTGTTTTAGGCCTTCGACACGGAAGCAAGTCAGAAGCAACATTACTTGTCTGAAGAATTTTTACAGGAGTTACTGCTGGGCTATTTGGAGTTGAACCTTGGGCAAATTTTCGTTGAGCATGAACTTTTGCTCTAAGAATAAGGTTTTGTTTTCCATTAATAACTACAAAGTGTCCATAAAAATGTAAAATTTATCAAACTCGTATCTCACTGAGAACAAAAAACCACAGTAAACAGAACTTTAACTACTACTCACAATACTGTTATTTTATTATCATAATTTCCTTCATAACATATGATCATTTACAAATACTATGCACAAGTCAATTAATAAATTACAACTTTTTTCAATGAAAAGCTAACTATATATATACACACACACATGTATATATGTATATAAGCCTAAATAAATTTTACTTTTACAAACTAAACAAGTAAATGTTACTAGCATATGTAATAAACTAGCATTGCACAGATAACACTTCTCTACCTTTGCACAATAATCATTAAAAATCTAAGAAATAAATAATATGTTTAACATTGCTGCATATGCACAAGTTTATGGGTGAAGTTCTGAAGAATGTTTCACCGATTCCCCACGAGGGTGTTCCCCAGCTGATTAACTCTCTTTAAAATTAGTTTAAAGTGCTTTCTTTAGTTCTGCAGACATGCAGAAGTGTAAGAGAGAGACCAAGCTAACACTGAGTAAAGACCTTGGTGTTATCATGTCATCATCACTGATTATCAACAGTTTGCCTTACTCATTCTCTGTTAGACAGGTATATGACTTCATCAGGAAGCTTAAACCAGCAGCAAACATTCAACCAGATAAAAACAACTACATCATTTCAGAATTTTTTTATCCAGCCACAAGCACCCAAAGACTTCTATCACCTATCTTCACCATGGAAATCCCAACTGGCCATCTGCTGTAACCCTCCTGTCAGCAGTAGCAGCTTTTTTTTTTTCTTTCTCCTCAAGAAATTAAAGAAGTCATAGAACAAAATGCCAGCAAATTCAAACACAGATTAAGGAGATTCAAAGTCCAGACACATCCACTGACAAACCTTCTACCTCAGACAGTCCTACACATATCAAAGCAAACACCCACATTAAGATGACACAAGCTGAGATACCACTTGATCCTGAGACTTGACAATAACCCTGCAGCATAGATTCCACTGCAAGAAAACTCTGTCATAAAGCTGTCACTCCCAAAGTATCCCCCTCCTCCCTGTTGCTTTTCACAATCTATATAGTGTAGGAGGAGAACTATTTCTTGGTACCCGTTTAAACAGTTCAATAGCACAGAAACCCACACACACTACATTCAGCAGCTCGACCAGTATGTCTTCATAATGAAATTCATGAATATTCATTTTGGTCTCTATCTGTTACAGGTATGTGTAACACGTATCACTTTTCCCATATGGAGATGCTTCTTGATTACATTGTGTACTATTTCCTGGAAGGCTGGATGGCTTCTACCACTAACCTGTGTGTTCATAGATTCTCACCTGTTACAAGATGCTGCAGTTTGCTTACCATGGCTGTGGTACAACTTGTTATAAGTCTCTTCCTACATGGTCTAGATTCCCCAAGTTGATCGATAGTTCTTCATTTTTCAATGCCATTAACTCTGTGTTCATGGGTTCAGTCAAATTGATGGATGTTTCTATATATTTAATATGATTCTGAATTTACTTTATGTACCTCCACAAAACTTGGCAAGTCTGTAGCAAACAAAAAATCAGATGTTTTCATAAAGTATTTTTACTAAATATTCTCTGTGAACTTATGCAACCTTTACTGAGTCACTCTGGGTGAAAGGTGATTTTCATACTTCATATACATAATCTATAGTCTCCTAAATTAATTTCAAATGTGTGTTGGGGGGGAAAACTTTATATTTTATCTCTTATTTTCTCTACCCTAAGTATAGTAAAATAATCAATGTACAGTGAAATGAAAATTGTAAAAAATATGAAATAAAATGGATATTACCATTTTTATCAGAAATTTCCAACTTACTTATCTTACAGCTTCAACTGCTAAACTTTTAACATTTACTTTATTTTATGGTTTACTGCCTACTTTGTAAAAAAAAGAGCAGCAATTCTCCTCATCAAAAGCAATAAATTACAGCACGAGCTAATTAGCCATTTTCCATACAACTAATGTAAACAGCGAAGTCGAAGTCGTGTTACACACATTTGATCTTGATGAAAGAGTCAAGTATAAGGGATATCCCTGTCTTGGAATTTGCAAATCACAAATCTGAACACATCTTTATAGTCTTTAGTGTACGCTCATCATGCATCAGAAAAAACTGTTATATAATTTTCCCAAAAGTGATCAATTTTCAGTGGCATGACACTGACTACAAAATGTCAAATAAGGTCAAAAGGTAGTTCTGAGAGATGCTATTCCTCAGCAGCTTTATATCAGCTATGGTTGTCATGTGACTTAGTAATTTGCATATTGAAAATCATTTTAATATAATGTACTCAACCCTTGGTAGTACATCTTGTAATTTTGAGGTCTACAGATATGAAAAAACAAAAAGATATAACACTTATCACATTTCTAAATGAAAAACTTCAAATAACTGTCTTGTGGAAATTAATATAGTCCATAAAAACTAGAATATTTTAATTATATTTTTGTAACTAAAAAAATGTCTACATCACTGAAGATAAATTTTTTTTGACATAGAATGTATTTGGTTATAATTGATTGGTAAGTTATTAAACCTGATGTGTGTGCAAATTCCTTCTTACAAGTATTAGTCTCCAAGAGCTTTTACATGCTCACTGCTGAGTACAAGGTAGATACAATCAAACTAATCCAAACTGTCATTTTGTTCTGCACAAATATCATGCAAGACTTTTTTACAACTTTAATTCGGAGTTAATTATAAGTAACAATGAAAATTAAAATCTAATGACAATATTATAAATAGGGGAAGGAGTATACAGTAAACAAGACTAAAAATGTTGAACAGAGCTAGTTAAAAAGTTTTAGCAATTTATATTTCAACAGTTGAACTATGAATACAAAACAATTATGTACATACAGCCTATCATACTACAAAAATTAGATGAAAAAAGCTTTTAATTGTACAAAAAAGTTAAAACATAAATCTAAAAATTAACAAACAAAAAAAGGTTTTTGCAAAAGCCTTCTGCACTTTCATCTTAAAACCAACTTTAAAAAGCCCTTAAGAGGTGTCTAAAACAAAGTGGCCAGCCACATTACTGAAGCTAAGTCTCTGAGATCTTTCAAGCAACGACTTAATGAGATATTTTGATCAACAATCAAATGAGCAAAATGGGCCAAATGACCTTCTCTCATTCGTAACCTTCTATGTTTTTATTTGTCAGTCTTAATCCAGTCCATAATTGAGGTTATCCTTCATTGTTTGGATTTCACAGAACTGGCTGGGAACTACCCAACGCTTGGTGGAGGTCACTATGCTTGCTCATTACTTCTTTTCCCTGACTTCTCGTTTGTACTTCAAGAGATATCTGACAAACTGGCTTAGAACTTCGAAGGATTTGGTTACTTAGCCTTACAGAAAATAATTTGGCATGCTACTCACCTTTCATTTGGTGATTACAAAGGATCATTTTGTCAGTGTTTGACATACAAGACTGTTTAGTGTTAGCATTATTATTTGGTTTATTTTGTGACTTAGTATTTGGGGTTGATTGTTCTGAAAGCATTAGTTGTGACAAATTTCATTGAGTAACTATACAAATCATACGGTGTGTATGCAATTAGGCTTTAGTGATATTGTTGATGTCACATTACTTGAATCTTTGGCATTTTTCTTGTTACCTTAAGTGAGTATTGTTCCATTATAGCATTGTAGAGTTTATAGAAATTTCTAGGCCTCAGATAGATCTAGACTGAGTGATTGTTAGTTTAGCCATAATGGGCAATATTTTAAAGTGAGTTTCACAGTTCAGAGAAAAGGAGAATAATTTGTCTTGCCAAAGGGTGTTCTAAAGTAACTGAACCCATCTCTGTGGACTTTGACAAAAAAGGAGACAATTATTTAAAGTTTGAGATACCACCAACCGAGTTACATAAGTGAATATATTGCAGATTGTTCAGTAAGAAACAGAGTAGAGAACATTAATCTGTTTTCTTGTCAATTGGATTCTAAAGTAACTGAATCAACCTGTATGGATTTTTGACAAGAAACTAGAATTATTTAGAGTTTTAGATACAACTGTGATATCCTATAGTATAAAGAATTTTTTTTTTTACATACATTTGACTTGTTTTGAATTTATTATTTTAAAACAAGTGGCTTGTGTGCTGTCCGTTTATAGTTCGAATTTATTGTCAACAAGTCACAGACACCTATTGTAAAGAATCCAAGCCCATATTTACAAAATCCTGATATTTGGCAAGACAACCAGGATTATACAGTGGTAAATGGTAGTAAAAGAAGACATGAACGACAGCAGAAATAAGTAGGCTTATATACATACAACTGTAGTAGTAGCACAAATAGTGTGGAAATTACAATCACACTATATAACCATGTCAAATTTTGATAAATGGATAGAAAGAGGTAAGCATCTTGGGTTAAAATACAGTGAACTCTTATGAGTTTGTTAAACAACAACAAGAACTAGAGAGAAGAGCAGAGGAAGAGAGAGGAGGAGAGACAGAGAAGAAGGGAAGAAAGACTAAAAGAAGAAAAAGGAGAGAGAAGAAAATGAGAGAAAGGAAAGACTGGAAATAGAGAGAGAAAGAATAAGAGCACAAATTGAGAATGAAGAAAAGGAGAGAGAGAGAGAGAGACTGCAAACAGAGGCCATAAGAACACAAATTGAGAAAGAAGAGAGAGAGGAGAAACTAGAAATGGAGAAAATTAGAGCACAAATTGAGATCACCCAACAGAATGAAGGACCCAAAAATGACAATGGGGTCAAGGCCAGCCAATGCAAGCTACTCAAATGTGATAAAAAGAAAGATGACAAAATGTTTTCCTGGAGAGATATGAAAGATTTGCCCAAATTCAAAACTGGGACAAACGTGACTGGGCAGTCTGTCTCAGCCCACTTCTCGCAGGAAAAGGCCTACAACTGTAAGCAGGCATGACATCAAAAGATGCCATGGACTAGAACAAATTAAAAGTGGCTTTGCTGAAACAATATGAACTTACGGAAAAAGGTTTTCATTGGAAGTTCAGAGAAATCAAACCTGACAATGGAGAAACTGTATTTCAGTTTGTGGCACGTCTACAGTGATACTTCACCAGATGGACTGACATGGTCAAGTGTGACAATAGTTTTGAGGGACTGGCAGATCTTCTAGTACGTGAACAGTTCATGATCATGTGCTCAACTGACATGTCACTGTTCCTAAAGGAGAGAGCATCAAAAGATGTGGAGGAGATAATCAAGCTAGCAGAATAGTAAATGGAAGCCCATGGAGGGAGTGTAATGAGTAAGTCCAAAAGTATCCAGTTAAAGTTGAAACCCGTAAAGACTGACCAGAAGCAAGAGTCTACCAAAGGTGACAGAAGGTTAAAAGACAAATGGGAGGAGAAATCTGTATTTGTTATAAAATAGGGCACATTGCAGGAGTACAAGTCCAACACCAACAAGCAACAGCAGAAATCTCAACATAACGCAGCTGGAGCTAGTTACAAAGATAGTGCTGGTAAGAAACAAGAAAAGAGTGATTGTCGCCATGGATGCTGCTGCTACGAGAAACAGAATTAAGGAAACACGTCAGATTCATCACATGGAAGTGCCATTTCCATGATTGATTAGTGAATGATTAATGGTCGGCTCAAGTTAGCAAATGGATCAACAGTACCAGAAGTTAGAAGTTTATTCAGAAAACGTAAAGTTCATTAAAGTGAAGTTCAGTCAGAAGAAAAAAAGTTAAAAACATGAAGTTACCTGGTATGTGAGTGATTAGCCTTAACAGGGGATTTCTATAGTGTGTTCCACAGTTGTATTGTAACAATAGAGATAGGAAAAATAATATGTCTTGTCAACTGGGTTCTAAAGTAACTGAATCAGCCTGTGTGGACTTTAGATAAAAAAAGAGAGAATTATATAAAGCTCTGGACACAACTGTGAAACCAACAAAAGAAGTTAGGAAAAAGTAAATCAGAAAACATTAAAGTTAGTGAAAGTGAAGTTAGACTGCATGATTGTTAGTTTAGACATAATGGGCAATATTTTAAAGTAAGTTTCACAGTTTAACAGAGATAAGGAGAATAATTTGTCTTGTTAAAAGAGTGTTCTAAAGTAATTGAACCCACCTGTATGGACTTTGACAAAAAAGAAGACAATTATTTAAAATTTGAGATAGAACTGTGGTAACCCAATGAGTAACGTAAGTGAATTCTATTGCAGATTGTACAGTAAGAAACAGAGTAGAGAACATTAATCTGTTTTCTTGTCAATTGGATTCTAAAGTAATTGAATCAGCCTGTTTGGACTTTTGACAGGAAAGAAGAATTATTTAGAGTTTTACATACAACTGTGATATCCTATAGTGTAATGAATTTTTTGTATATACATTAGACTTTATTGAATATATTATTTTAAAACAAGTGGATTGTGTGATGTCCGTTTATTGCCAACTAGTCACAGACACCTACTGTAAAGAATCCAAGCCCATACATACAAAATCCTGACACAGTTATAAATAACACCAAAAACATTGTCCAGGAATGTCAGTTTTCCATATCTTTCTTCACATTATTGCCAAAATAATATCTTTTTCACAAATTTACCAATCAGGGCTGTGTTATCTCTATATTTCAAGAAAAACTGACGTGATGAAACAAACATTCATTACACAGTCAATGATAATGCTGGTATAAAAGAGGGCACATTATAAAACTACAAAAAACTGTTTAATTTGGTTTATATATACAGTAATACAAGAAATGTCCTTCCAAATTTTTACAGTTCCCTCCAATTTCCAAAAAATAAAAATCATTTATAAGACAGAAAACTACCACTTCTATATAAAAGATATTTTTGAAGATGTTCACCTTTTTGGGCTTTCATCTCTATTACCCACACCATTCTGTCCAGGACGCTGAAACTGTCTGTATCTTACATTAGGGCCAGTTATGTCACCATTGGACTCCCATTCACCCGAGTCCGAAATTTTTGAACGTCTATTCTCATTCAGTGAAGCATATAGGGCTTTTTTAAGGTCTTTCTCTTCCTTCCACAACAGCCCATTGTTGTAATCCTGAAAAAATACAGAACAGAAAAGTAGTGTTAACAACAATGTTTGATAATACTTTTTACTTAATGTTAATCCAGTATATGTTCATGGAAATATCCCAATCCTACTTTGCATTTTTTGTATGTTTATTTAAGCATACCATTTATTTGAAATGTAACAGCTACAGAAAAAGATACACTTGATTTAAAGAAGGTTAAGCTTGTACAATTGTTGAAAGAGATAATGGTTGCCTTTTTGCCTACACATAATAATGCATATTATAACTTTTAAAATCATAAAAGTATACTACTAAATCTTTTAAATTATTAAAAATGATATATTTGATATAAAGAAATCACAATATTAGCTTTTTTTAAGTTCCACCTTGGCACAGTTATTAACATTTCTAAGTGCCAGAAGAGATTTTAGGTGTCCAAAAAAAACTCAAAATTTCTATTAACTGCTAAGTGTTTTACTCTTCAAATACATGATCATTCACAAAAAAACACCCAACATTATTACAGCCAGCTTCATTCTACTATTAACACTACCACTTTTATAAGCATTGCTATTACTATACACAGTGCCTCCCCTTCCTTCTTTTTCAGTTTTTATATCTAAGGCTTTTGTACATCACACAAATTCCACCACATGAGTGAAACTTAAGAGCTTGATAGGGTAGCCTAGACAAAGATAGATCTAAATTTGGATCTAAATAGTCACAATAATAAGCACAGAATTGAGGCCTTATATGTACACATAATAATATATTTTAAATCTAGGTCTAAGTCTAGTGTTTGGATTATGTACATCCATACAACATTAAACTAGTTGAAAAGCAACATACATAGACTGATTCCTTACACTGGTAACCAAGGTATAAATGTTACTTCAATCTGTATATAATTATACTCAAGCAACTAGCAATGGCCAATAATGTAGAATATTTAACCTGTATATTACATTACATTTTTCTATATGCACATCACATCTTAAAATCCTGGTCAGACAACAGTTTATTTGGAAATTTAGTAAAAAATAAAACAAATTATCAATAACTTAAGAACCACTATAAGAAAAAAGAAACCCTGTATCTGCATTGGTTTTGGTCAAAGAAATCATAAATTCATAGTGTCAAAATATGAAATCTTAATTTATATTTAGCATACACTCCCCTTCATACAAGCCACAAACAATAATTTAAAAAAATCTAGTATGAGATGATTACAGTGATATTTTTCAGGACAATCAGGCTCATTCTGTTCAATTTTTATTATGTGTCTGACTTGTTACCAAGCATATAATTTCTCAACCTTTATAACTGTTTATTAAATATAGTCCCAGGACAGAAAGTTAAGAGACAGTATTTATTATCTACCTCAAAGGAATTAGTTTTTATCATTAATTTCTTACCAGTGTAACAAAAGTACTTTCAGTGTTTTATTTCTACATCATACGATAAACAAAGTTTCTAATTACAGCTCACATTGGTATGCAAATTTTATCCTATTTAATAGATGTATGGGGAATGAATGTCTGTTTCATTATTCATACTTGTATGCTAACCAACTGATAAATTTATTAGTCTATACAATTTAATGGTGATTATTTCATTTACAAACCCTAGGATTAGAATCTAGATTCCACCTGTGTAAACAACAAATCTCCGTAACTTCTTGTATTAAATGCTTAGCTAGTGCAGTGAGATAGTGCAAATCAGGAGGGTATGTCTACTAAGATCAAGATATGAATAATAGTTCTAACTTTACTTTTAAGCTTTTAAGTTCTTAAAATTATAATGTTCCTAAGACAGTTCTTAGAGTGGCTCTATTAAATATATGGTTTTTAATTTTATATAAAGTCCTACATTTTCTTTGTTTTATTTATTGTTTAGTTATTTCATATCTCTGAAACATAATACCACTAGCATTTGCCTGTTGAAAAAAATCATTGGTAAATTTCATAATAGTTATAATTTTCCTATACTGAAAATATATTTGAAAAAGGTACTTACCTCCTTTCACATAAATAGCTATTCTTGTTCAGTCCTACCCTCTATACACAAAAAATATTTTTTGCGTGACAAGCCTTGAGCTCCCATGCATCTTATAATACACTGGTTCAACTGCATCTTGCATGTAAATCATCATGCGACAACCCTCAACCAATAAGAATGTAACACACTCTCCTGATGCATGTGACTCTCGACTATTCGATCCTACTGAACTACCACTTCGAGTTTTGGCAGAAAATGGAAGCACTGGTTTTCAGTGGGGAGGAAGGATGGGAAGTGTGAGATGAGGTAAGTACCAATTGGAAATCTATTTTCAGTAAAGGAAAAGTATAACTTCCAAAATCGTATGTTATTTCATCTCACATAAATAGTTAGAATCTCCCACTGAATGGTGGGATGGGGATTCATACCATCGGTATAAGAAATCCCAGTTCCATAGAGTACTAGAGTGTGGGTGAAAGTAAAAGGATGTGCCCCTAGGTGTAAAGTGGCTAGGGCACAATGGAGCATACATGAAAAGTCTACTCCATCCAAAACCTGACATCCATGCAGGGGTAGGATGAGGATCATACCATCGGTAAGTCAACTACAATCCAAAATTCAGCCATCTGGAGGGGATAGGAAGGAGGATCATACCATCTTCACCTCAAGTTCAGCAGAACAGAGGGAATATTGAACACACTACTCTGTGAGCAAGACACATGATGGTAGTATGATAAATTGTTTTACCGATCTGGGAACCCAAAATCCTGACGATGGGCATAAGAAAGATGTCTCAGTAAAGGAAAGTAATTCACTCAAAACAATCCAGTAGGAATGACCCCAGTACAATAACATCCTCGGGATAAGAAAATATTGAGCGATAGCATAAGAGGAAGAACTGTATGAATCTACATGCCCAACCAAAGCAAAGCAAATCCGAGTGAAGCAAACAAGAGTATAATTGAGTGAGGCACAGAGACACCTATATGACAGGTGAGGACTTATGTTGACTGGTTCAGCTCTGAATCAAAAACCAAACTACTGGGAACCAACATCCATGTGGTTGTAGGATGAGGGATCCCAATCGAAGGGGTGAATTGTATTTTGACGGCTCACTCTAAAAATACAACATCCCCTTCGATAAAGCTGTACAGAGATGGAGCATCTACATCAACAGAACACTACCGCCCTACTCTGAACTCAATAGTTGTAACATTATTTGTATCTTATATCAATATCACATTCAGGAAAATCTTCATGGTCCACAATCCCAGTGGCTTCGAACTGGACAGTGGTAAGGACTCCCATACTCCATTGGAAGAACAAAAGGGGTGAGAAAATGTAGTGGAGCGTCCAGAGGAATGTCAGTACTGGAGACAGTGCAATGGGTGACTATGAAAACCCTAGTTTGAAAAGCAGACCATACCTGATTTATTCAATTGAAGGCATTGCAGCGACGGGCTCTATCCATGAAGACTATTGGTGAGTACGGTCTGGAACAGGCATATTATTGAAGCAAACATATCACAAGGAAAACCTACAGTTAATCATGTAGAACAGTGAGTATATATAGCCAAGGAGATTAGAAATAAATAGACAACATGGCCTGATAGTGCAAATTTGACTATGGGAAGCATACCTGGCCACACCACTCGCCAAAAAGCAGTAAAAACAGAAAAGAGAAAAGTCCATGAAAAAGAAGATATATATATATATAAAAAATAACTTACCAGTCACAGTCTAACTGAAATCTGAAGAATGGCTACGTGCACGAGACAATAACCCAAAGATGAAGACACAGCAATTCGATGCAGATAGTGAGATATGAATGTATGTGGGGTAGTCCATGTGCCTCATTGAAGAATTTCCTCCAAAGGGCAACTAAGATGAGACACCAGAGAAAAGGTAAGGTGCCTGATCTGATGAGAAGACACCTGAAACAAAATACTGGAAGAAAAAAGATAAAAAAGAATATGCCAATCGAATTAAAAGCTGAATCCAATTGGTCAAGGTGGAAGGAGAAAGATCATGAACAGACAATGTCTGCCAATGAATGAATAGATGGGAATGGGCACCATGGAAGGAAGCAAGAACGGGACATAGTAGCCTATCTGGATCAGACTGAGTATAAAGGTGGGAAATGTAAGGAAGGTAAATCAGCGAGGACGAAGATTTACCCTCCTGAGCTACCATAGTTTCAAGAAGAAAAAGATCAATCCAGATAAAGGGAAATGTCCAACTGACAACATCCATAGGCTAATAGAAGAAGGAAATAAGTCTTAATGGAAAAATAAAGCAAGAGGACAGAGGTTCAAGTGGAGAAAAAGGGAGGCAGTGAAGAACCACATTAACATCCCAATCCACCAAGGTGGACAACTAATCTGAAAAGAATGTAACAATACGGAAAGTGTAGGAGAGGTAGAAACTTTACGATACATGGAATAAACATAATTGTGGGATAAGACAGCCCAATAACTTCCAATCAAAAAGACAGAAGACCTCTGATCAAACAGCAAAGTGAGGAAATCTGTAAAATGAGCAACAATGTGTCGAGCAGTGGAAAACCCTTGACCAAAAGACCAACAGCAGAAAATATTCCATTTATGTTGATAAACATCCCGAGAGGAAGAGCAAATAGAAGAAGCTAAAAAGGAAGAAACCCACCAGGACAAGCTGGATCTATTTGCCAGGGACCAGATAAAAACCAGGTGTGAATATGGCAAATATGAAGGGCTGGATGAAACACTGGTGACGAGGTTGACTTAGAAGGTTGGAGTAACAGTTACGGATAACAGAGGAGCAGATTGGAACTGGAGCAGCTGCAGAAAGCAAGATTGTTCTGACCAGCACGGAGCAATTGGAAAAACTTGACATAGAGTGGTGTGGATTATTAAAATCACCCTGTGAAGAAAACAGATGGGAGGATAAACATACAGGTATTTGTTGGTCCAATCTTGACAGAATGCATTGACAACCAGAGCAAGAGAATGAGAAACCAGAGACAAAACTAGAGTTAACTTCGTATTGAGGGATTTGGCAAATGCATCCAGGTGAGGAGTAATCCACTGAAGGCATAGCCAATGGAAAACAAGACATCACTCTGTTGGGACGAGAAAGAGAACGCTCAAAAAGATTGAATGCACCCAGAAAATGACATGCAAGAATATGAATACCATGCATGTGGGCCCAAAAAAAAGGAGATCCACAGTTTAACCACAAAGGGAACGAGAACAGGTGACACCTTGATGATAGGTGTAAGCCACCACTGTAGAATTGCAGATCATAACCAGACGATTTCTGGAAAGATAAAAAAAAATTATTCAAAGCACAATGTACAGCCAGAAGCTCCATGATGTTGAGTTGGTATGATTTTTTGGCTGGAGACCACCAACATGAAGCTTCCTGCTGATCAATCCACATACCCAAGACCTGAAGGGAAGTGTCTGTGAAGATATGCAAATCCAGATAAAGGGGAGGAAGAGGAACACCCACCGACACATGAGCCTTGTCCAACTACCAATGCAGATCGCCAACAAGAGAAGGAGGAAGGGAAATAGGAGCCTCCAATGGATCCCACACAAGATTCCATTGCTTGTGCAGAGCCCACTAAAGAAACCTCATAAGTGCTTGAACTAAGAGGATAAGAGCTTCCATGGAAGACCACATCCCCAAAGATGATAGATCCTCATGAGCTGTAAGAGAGAGAAGCAGTAAGGGTGTGGAGAACTGAAAGCTCCATCAAATGAAGTCAAAGACGAGAAAGTTGGACTCGACTGAGATGAGTGTTGAAAAAGACACCCAAATGGACAAGATATTGGGTAGGTATAACAAATAACTTCTCCAATTTGATAAACCAACCTGCATGAGCTGCCTCGAAGAGCAGCAGATGAATGTGATGGGTGGACTCATGTTCGGAACGAGCTAACAGAAGCCAGTCATCCATGTAATGATGGAAACTCAACCTCTGAGCATGCAAATGTCAAGCAAATGCCTTGACTACCCAACAAAAGAGGTTGAAGCAAGCCTAAAGGGCAGGGTGCAAAATTGATAAGTTACCCTTTAATGAAAAAACCGAAGATAACACCTCAACTGACGAGATATCAGGACATGCAGATAAGCATTCGCTACGTCTACCTTGGTCATCCACAAACCTGGAGAAAAAGCTTACTTGAGGGTGAGAAAAGACTCCATGGTAAATCGGGGTAGAACCAAAAATTGATTGGGGGGGGGCAAATCGATCAAAGGCCACCAGTTTCTAGTTTTCTTTGGTACGACTAACAGCCTGGAATAAAGATCTGGAGATGGATGACTGACATGTTCAATGTGCTGCTGGGAGAGAAGATCTTGTACCACCTTGGACAGACGTTGACTGGTTGTAGGATCCCAAGGCAATAGAACGAAAACAGGTATCTGAAACACTGGAAAGAAAATGAATGACAAGTCCCTCAGATAATACCTGAATAACCCACAGATCTGTTGCGTAAAGTCACCAATGGAAATAAAATAGGTCAAGCAAGCCCCCACTGGTTAGCCATTAATACTGTTAGCAATGTGTCCATCTGCACTGAATAAAATGACAAAATGAAGAACCCCTGGAGGTAGGAACAGGTAAGGGCTGGGAAGGAGCTGGACAGAAAATAGTAATAGGGGCATGTCTAGGCTCTGAATGAAACAAATGATCCACCAAAGAAGAAAGGGCAGTTTGTTGTTGCACCAAGTCCTCACAGGATTCCAAAGTCTCAGGAATAATACCAAAAACATACTGCTGTAGAAAATGAGCCATACACAAGTCCTGGAGATAAGTAGGTGGTAAACAATCTTGGGACAAAACAGTATCCCTCCCAAGGAGATCTTAACAGCAGAGAAACCATGTGTACAAGGACAGATCCAAAAAAGACAAACATACCAAAATGGAGGTAATCAGGGAGAGACTATCCCTCAAAAAACCCTCTGTGGATCGCATCGGAAAGAAGATGGATAGTAGACAAGTACCAAGTAGACAAGATTGATAGAGTAAACGATGGTAGGAAAATTGGGATAAATGAACATGATAATTAGGATCCACACCCACACAGGCAAAATCGATTCTAACTGTTGAGAATCAAGAAATGAACATTCAGCCTGATGGTGGGCCAAGACAAACTGATCCGAAGCCCATGGAGGGGAAGGCATGGTGGCATCATCAAACATGCCGGAAACAAAATGCTCAGCATGAACCCTATTATCCAGAGAAGAGAGGGAAAATGAAATACTGATAGGAGGAGGTATCATGTAACAAAACAGGACAGAGATCACACGAAATTGGGGAAATGGATAAAATAGAATGTACATGAGAAATCATGTCTAGAAAAGACATATTAGGCCTAACTGATTGACATAGGAAGACACGGCAAAATCGGGTGGAGGAAAGAGGCTGTCAAAACCCTAACAGGTTGGGCATGTTCAGGAGGAATAGGGGCAAAATCAGGAGAAGCAGGTTGACTCATATAACAATCAATCTCACAGCAGATGATAGCTGATAAGTCCAAAGATGAGTTTCCCCATCTGTAGCCTGTATGAGTGTGCCAGTAGAAGGTGTTATCTATGAAGTGGTAACCTGAACTTTGGATGATGAGGAAAAAAAATGAAAAACTGAAAAAATAAGTTAGCTGAAAAGACGTTAACTATTGAAAAACAACAACAACAAATAAAAACACTTTGGAATAATAACAAAAAAAAATTCACGAAGGTGAACAAAAACATCTTGACACGAGCACTGCCAAACAAGAAGTGATAGTTTGGTAGAATCGAATAGAGGGAGTCACATGAATCAGGAAAGCATGTTGCACTCTTATTGGTGGAGGGTTATTGCATGATGATTTAGATGCAAGACACAGTTGAACCAGTTCATTGTATGGTATGTGGGAGTTCAAGGCTTGTGGCATGTGAAAACAAAATGTTTGCATGTAAAGGGCAGCACTAAATGAGAATAGCTATTTATGTGAGCGGAGGTAATGTACCATATCGGAAATAGTGATGAATAAATAATGTGCAGTCATCCCAATGCCTTGGTTCATAGAGTATATGCAATATCATTGTCTAGTGGTTCATTTATAACTGTATTTTGTCATTCAATTTGTTATGTCAATAGGGAGAATGGCATTGCATTTGTTTTTGACAAGGAGACTGACTGCAATGCATTTTTTTGACAAAAATTTTTGGGTTTCAATGGGTGCATTCAACACAAAAGAGCACTCAGCTTCACTAAGCAACTATGTGGATTTTTTTGGTGGATGTCACCATTCCTGGTCGTTTTACTGAGCACAAGAAATACTGCTACTGCAGTGAATGCTTTTTGACAGTTGTCATTTCTATAAGAAGCGTCAAAGTGGAGATATCCAATTAAAATTTATCTATTCGTCATGGTACAATAACATCATACAAGAAAAAAATTCCCTCATAAAAAGAAATATTTTTGTTCTTAAGTTTTTTCCTAGACTGACTACTCAGCAAATATGAAGACTGACTGATGGATGTTTATTTTGATTTGAAATTTTAGAAATTAAAAAAATGAATAATTTTCCTGTAATTTGCTCTTGAAAAGAAGCATTTTGATATATATATATATATATATATTTTTTTTTCAATTAATAATTCACAAGATGCAAAGCATGAAAGAGAAACAGACACTTGGTTATTATACATTTAGATCATTTGGTTTGGTTTGAATCTAAAAAGATCTGTAATTATACAAAAAATGTTTTGTTCAGAGCTTGCTTTACTTAATTAAAATTAAATAAAAACTTTCAACACTCTAAAAATTATTGATTAAATCCTCATAATCAGAACCACCTTAGGTGTTTAAAAGCTTTGGGGCTTAAGCCCATAGGCACAAGAAGTTTTAGTGTTCCAGTATGATATTATGATTTTCAGTTCTGAATTCAAGACAACAAAGGAGGATTTAGGGCACTGTGAAATAGAATCGGGCCACAGGCTTCATGTGATGGGCATAGAAATGCCTCTGATCATAATGAATATGTGTTGTAATGGTCACAGTGGAGAGTTGTCTCTTTGTTAAGAGTATCAGTGTCAGAACATTAACGTGAGCTGAGGTTTCTGGGTTCAAAATAAAAATATACTGAGTGATAAATAATTGTTAAGTAAATATGAAATAAAAATAAAATGTTAAGCTTAACAATATATGAGTAGACTTGTCACCAACTAAGGACATTTTTTTGCATTCAAGTATCTAAGTATTTAAACAACTTAATTTATACTTTTGAACAATGTTCAATGACAATCTGAATAAGAATTTTAAGACCTGAAGAAAGTTTAGAGAAAAACTCAATTTTGTCATATTTATGTTCATAAAGGTGAAATATAATCAAGACTTACTAGACTTTTGGCCATCACATTTCTTCTGGGTCGCTGAGAAGACGGGCTGTTATCTGAAGAGGCTGCTTGAGGACTGTCATTTTTTGAATCCACCTTCATAACAGTAGCCTTGTAGTAAAAAAAAAAAAAAATATATATATAT